TTGGGCTTCCTTATCAGGATCTGTTGTTCTCTCCCTTACCCTCTTCCAATTCTCAGTCTCATTGCTTGCATTTCCTCCTTAGGAGCCTCAGCCAGCAGAGCCTGCTATGCAGCAGTCCCAATACACACCTTGCCAGTATGAGATGAAGCAGTTCTTGGAGTGTGCTCAGAACCAGAGTGATTTGAAACTCTGTGAAGGGTTCAGTGAGGTGCTGAAGCAATGCCGATTTGCAAATGGTATGTAGCTTCCGTGGCTTTCTCTGGAAATTGGGAGTAGGCTTCTTTTCGAAGCATGAGAAGGAGGACAACTCGTTTAGGCACTGCTATGAATCCTTCCTGGGGGGCTTTTAAGGGTGATTATTACAATGTTAGGAAAACATTTACTTTTTTTAACTTAAGTCATACAGCACGTTAAACATTGCTTACTTACTAAAAGAGACAGTGATAGTATGGACAAAGAACTTTGGATATTCTATAGAATTAGAAGACTGGTAAAAACTGTGGGATAAAAATATCAAACTTACTAAAGCAGTAACATACAAAGAAAACCTATATAAAATGTTTTATAGATGGCATATGACACCAGTTCGCTTAGCGAAAATGTTTAAAAATTTATTGGATACGTGTTGGAAATGTAAACAAAAACCGGGTACTTATTATCATGCCTGGTGGACATGTTCTATTGCAAAAAAATATTGGTCTAAAATTCAACGATGGTTAGAAAAGATGATGAAAATCCAGATAGAATTTAAACCGGAACTGTTCCTGTTAGGTATATTAAGACCTAACTATGGCAAAGAAAATGATTATTTGATATGACATGTATTAACAGCTGCAAGAATAGTATTTGCCCAATTTTGGAAAAATGAAAACTTACCATCAGACCAGATTATAATTTTGAAAATCCTAGATTGTGCAGAAATGGACAGATTAATGTTAGAGATGAAGGAGAAAGAAGATTCAATCTTCTATAAAACCTGGGGAAAATGTTATCAGTGGGTTGAAATACGTTAGAATAAAAAGAGATTTTAGAGCTTTATTATATTAAGTATTAAGGTTGATGATTGGAAATAGTTGTTATGCTATCAACTATGTTAATTATTTTAAAGGAATATTAGTGTTTTACCAAATGTCAGTTGTAACTATACCGATTTATTCTTATAAATGTCTAGTATTATATAAACAATAATACTCAATATGAAGACCCGGACGACAGCTTGTTCGCTGAATTACGTATTTACTGTAGTTATCCACACCCTGTCCCCTTTATCCCAATTTTCCTGTACCCGCACTGACCCCACCTTTTCCCTACCCATATAAAATCTAATAAAATATATTTTAAAAAAAACATTGCTTACGTACAACAGTGATAATTGAACTCCGTTATTCCAGATAGAATGACAATTTAAAACTGATTTCTAATTGCATATCAGTGTATCTTGAAAACTTAAGGTTTTCATTCTTCGTGTGCCTTCTGGCAAGGTGTTAATTCCAGCTTTATCAGATATTCCTGACATAGTGCTTAATCTAAAAATGAGCTTTATGAGAAGATGCATTTTGAAGATACCCAGTTATTGGTAGTAGTCTAGCGTTAGCTATCTGTTGAGCTCATTGTATGCTGATGAAATGCAAGTACATAATGCATTAAAGTAAAGTCATATCTGTGTTTGATCAAGATAGTAGGTCACATGAATAAACAATTTGGAAAAATATGTACTAAAAATCTTCCAGTAGAATTTAGTATCCAGCAGCCCACTTCTACTAGCTCAATCTTAGAATTCTGATGAAAGAATTAAAAATTATGTTGGCTTGGTGTAAAAAGTGGAGGAAAAATGGGAAGTGACCATGATAGTACTTAAATGTGATAAGGAAAGGTCAGGGAACTTAAATGTCATTTTCTGGATCCTGCAGTCCATTTTTTTATGTATTGATACTTATATATATGTTTTATTTTTTTTCCTTCAAATCCACAGGCTTAGCTTAATTAAACTCTGGAGGATCAAATCTAGCTCCATCACTGAGATCGATTGCCAGTAAAATTTTCTTTTAACGTCTAAAAGCTCTCCAACTTGTCTTTGTTTATAATTCGCTCTCCATCTGACAAGAAAGCATGAAGTTTGCAGCAAGAAGAATTGTGGCAATATGTTCTTGTGGTTGGGAAAGTGGAATGATCATCCAATTTTAGGATTACTTCACTTGTGTTATTTCAGATTGTGATTGTGTATGATCCTTAGAATAAAAAATGACTATTCTGAAAAAGAGGTTTTAAATTGCCTGTCAGTCTTTAATAAATAACGATGACAGGAAACACAGGAGGAATGGGATACATCACTTCATCTGTAACAAATAAGAATTTGTTTCCTTAATTTGTTGTTAAAAATGCAAAATACAATAAAATACTGCATCTACTAACATTTTTCCTGGACAATTGGGCCGAATCCACATTTTGCAACTTGGGGAGGAAGGATTATTTAGTTCTGAGGCTGATCACCAATGGACAGTTAACAAGAGTTAAAACAATTTAAGAAAAGAAAAACAGGTCTGTCTTGAGGAAGTGCTACTATCCAGATCCAAAATAGAAAAAACTAAATCATGGGGGAGAGGAGGTCAACCCAGGCACCATACCAACTTTAATGTCAAGTATCAAGAAGAGATGTTCTTCCCCCTCCCCATCATCTGCTAAACAAGCTGCAAAATATTAATATTTCTATAATATTTCCACAGATATCACCAAGGTATCATAACATTCAGCATTGATCTCCAAGATTCACCTTGAGCAAATAAAATTTTTCAGGAACTTTCATGGTGGAAGCAATACATACATTCAGTTGCAATTCTGAAAAAACAAGGCATTTCAAGTGACTTTTCAAGTCTCACTGCATGAATTCAGTACACCCAGACCCAGTCATAGCAATTAATATAGTACCTGAATTTGTATAAAGGTTACACCTGCACAGGACACATTCTTCCTTTCAACCTCCCAAACTGACTGCTGGGAAGTTCTGGGAACTGAAGGCTATATCTGAAAAGTGCAGTAAGGAAAATGGCAATAAATAATTGACTTTGGGATACTAATCCAAAATTTGGCCTTATGTAAAATAATAGGCAACAGCATCAAGATGAATTAGAAATATCTTTTTTTAAACTGAATTTGCTTGATTGTCAAAAAAGGTTAACCGTAATCACAATCCTAATATTATATTCCAAAATGAACAGTTATAATGGCCCCTCAAAAGCATTAAATAAAGTAAAAACACATCTACAGTATTTCTGTCCATAATTTTGGGTTGCATATAAATTCCAGTGATAGGCTTAGGGGGAACAAAACTGGGTAGCTGCATCTTAATACTTTATTGAAACTGCCTGTTAATCCAGAAAAAAGGTAAATTGGGAATAAGAAGTATTCTGGGGACTAAAACAATGACCAGAAGAGTCCTCATTAGTTTGCCTTTTGTTAAAGTGTGTGAACAGTGATAACCTACCATAGATAAATTCTGTTGTCTTTCAGTATGTCTCATTAAATGCCAGTGATTCAAAACAATACCTTTGACACAAGAGACCACATGTTCCACCTATTTTTATGTAATGAAGCAACCACCTCTTCATTAATTCACTTCTATAATGCCTTCTCATCTAAATATAATTCCCTGAGAAAACATTGGCCTCAGGTGTATGCTAAAGTATACTGATAGTTCATGTTTTAATTTTAGAAGTGGGTAAATCAGTATTTTTCAAACTTGGCAATTTTAAGATGTGTAGAGTTTAATTCCCAGCTTGCTGGGAGAATTCTGAGAGGTGAAGTCCACACATTTTAAAGTTGCCAAGTTTGAAAAATTAGAAAAACTTTTTTTTCAAATATTAGATAATTTACTATGTAAATTCATAGATCTAATTTGTAAGCCAGAGCATATAGAAATAACATCTGTTAGAGACCTATGATTCATAAACAACAGTCAGCTACTCAATTCATCTTTGGGCCCTCAGTAAACCTTACAGTGGTCAAAAATTTAAATTTTTGTACATATATCAAATCATAATTATTGCATTACAATACTTTTATGAAGCAGTGATCTAACAAAATATGGGGAAGACAGAAGGTTGGATTATCTTTACACACTTAAGTTTTCCTTGGAATTGTCAATAATATCCCTGTTTGCCAATCTAAATTTTGCTGAATGATGTGCAGAAAAAATTAAATTTTATGAGTTATGTAAACAGGTAGTCCTTGACTTACGACTGCAATGAAGCCCAAAATTTCTGTTGTTAAGTGAGACATTTATTAAGTGAATTTTTCCTTTAAGATGTATGGACTTCAACTCTCAGAATGAAGAAGTTGCCAAGTTTGAAAAAATACCGAACCAACTCTAAATGAAAATGTTTTGGAGGGTGTTTGTGCCCTCTCCCCTGCATCAGCAAGGCAAAGTTGCCTATAAAACTCTGCTGTGAAACAGCTGAGGGCATAGGGCAGGAGGTGTCTGTGTGTGTGGCAGGAAAGCAGTCAGAAAGGGATGCTTTTCTCCTAACAGTATTCACAGGGAGTAGGAGTAGGAATAGTAAGAGTAGCAGTGGGGAAGAGTGAGCAGTGGGTAATAGTACCAGAATATGTGAACGCTTGTGTGTGTTGTTTAAGAATCTGGGAAGTTGGCTCTTTTGTGTCTTGAAACCACCACCACCCCCCAATTGGATATACAGGTAGTCCTTGACTTATCACCACAACTGAACCCCAAATTTCTGTTGTTCAGACATTTGTAAAGTGAGCGTTGCCCCATTTTACGATCTTTTTTGCCACAATTGTTAAGTGAATCACTGCTGTTGCTAAGTTGGTAACGGTTGTTAAGTGAATCTGGCTTCCCCATTGACTTTGCTTGTCTGAAGGTCGCAAAAGTTGATTACAGGACCTTGGGACACAGCAACGGTCATAAGTATGAACCAGTTGCCAAGCATTTGAATTTTGATTACGTGATCACGGGGATTCTGCAAAGATCGTAACTTTGAAAAGTCATAAGTTGCATTTTTCAGTGCCATTGTAACTTTGAACAGTCACTAAATGAACTGTTGTAAGTCAAGGACTCCCTATAATTTATAATATCTGTGATAGTCTTTGCTTTTTTTTTAATTAAGAATTTAAATATGCCAGTAGGGCCAACTGCATTCTCAGCCATCCCCAAATATGCCCTCTTAAGATACAGAGCTACTAAAAAACAAAAATCAGTCCTGTTGCGCTTCACGTGTCCTACCCTGTGGAATCACATTATGCATGCATTCCAAATTTTGTTCCTGGTTCTTGTTTCCCTGGAGAAGGAATCCCTGTTTGTCCTTTCATTCATGGGAGCTGTTGGTTGTTGAAGAATTCCTTCACCTCAAAGAGGGTCACTCCAACCTAAGCAGAGAGGGAGCTGAGCATGCAAAGTGGAGGACTTGGAATAATTCTCGAGTTGCACTGCGATTTTTATTTTTGGCAGTGCAGTCGCCACAGTGTGAGTGATCCACAACAAATTAAAAGAGAACGTGAGACGCTGCTATGTGGTTTAATTACTGGCCGTCAAACAACACTGGGAATTCTTTCTCAAGGTGGGCTTTGGGATTTGATCTGCTGGGTTACTCTTGGTTAGAAGACGTTGACTGTGCAAATGACGGTTAAGGTAAGTAATCATGTCTTTTATCAAGAAATTGGTTTTCTTTAATTAACTAGTTAAATTATGCAACTCTGTAAGTGTATTAGTTGATTTGGAGATATGTGCAGGGCAATAAGGCTGAGTTTGAGTTTTGGTTTAGCACTATATTAAATATAAGGGTAGAACCCATAGAAAAAGGTAGCATTTTCTATTCCCAGACTATTAGAATGTGTCTTCGAGGCTTTTAGAATGGAAGACAATAATTTTGATCTTATGGTTTGCTTTCCAGGAAAGCTTTGCTTTGAAATTGCACAGTTAGCAATCAGAAAGGAGAAAATATTTGGGGTATGCTTCATACTAATTTATACACACTATGCTACATCTGAACTGAATTATTGTTCAGATCTAGACTACATTTGTACTTTATTTGAAACAATAGCTCTTAAATAATAATTAAAGTATGTCATGATTCCAAGGGGATCCATATATAAAACCAGCTTCCGGTTATATATACAGTATACAATGTATAAGGAAATTGCTTTTAGTTCAAGAGAACATCGAAATTTAGCCTTATTCTTAACCATCTGTCTTGGCTCTCCTTCTATGAGCATGGAGAAATTAGATTATGGCAGGTCAACATTTCCTACAATGAATCCTCATTATTTGTGATGTGTTTCCAATTTAGACACTTGTTCCAGTTTTTTAAAAAATCTTATAAAGCAGTGTAAGTAATTTTTTTTATTTATCTAAGGAAACTGTAAATTTATAACTAATCTGTGTACATGTATGAAACACAATTGAACAAAAATAACAAAATAACGTAAGAAAAAAATAACTACAGTCGTATCTGTATTCATAATCAGTAGAATGGGTTTAATTGCCATTACTTCAGGAGAAAAATGCCAGATGTTTCAGTTATACGAAAGACTAATGGGGTCAGGACCATCAAATCTTGAGGGGGGGGAGTTAAAACTGAAGAGCAAACATAACACTAGCTGACATATTTTAATGACAGAAGAAAGATTAATATCTTGGATAGCTTTGTAGGCAAGAAAAACCAAATGTACAGGTATAGTATAGGTGGTACCTTGCTCAATAGTAGCAACTGTGAGAGGGATCTTGGAGTCTTAGTGGACAAGCCAACAGTGTGCTGCAGCTACCAAAAAAGCCAACACAGTGCTAGGCTGCATTAACAGAGGGATGGAATCAAGATCACGTGAAGTATTAATACCACTTTACAATGCCTTGGTAAGGCCACACTTGGAATACTGCATCCAGTTTTGGTCACCACGATGTAAAAAAGATGTTGAGACTTTAGAACAAATACAGAGAAGAGCAACAAAGATGATTAGAGGACTGGAGGCTAAAACATATAAGCTACGGTGGAATTGGGTTTGTCTAGTTTAATGAAGAGAAGGACGAGGGGGACATGATAGCAGTGTTCCAATATCTCAGGGGCTGCCACAAAGAAGAGGGAGTCAAGCTATTCTCCAAAGTACCTGAAGGCAGGACAAGAAGCAATGGATGGAAACTAACCAAAGAAAGAAGCAACCTAGAACTAAGAAGAAATTTTCTGATAGAACAATTAATCAGTGGAACAACCTACCTCCAGAAGCTGTGAATGCTCCAACACTGGAAGCTTTTAAGAAGAGACTGGACAGCCATTTGTTTGAAATGGTATAGGGTTTCCTACCTGAGCAGGGGGACCTTCCAACTTTGTTATTGTTATTATTTGAGACATGACAGAAGCCAGTCAGGAAAATAGAAAGAGTTCTTCCCTATGTCCAAGTTAAATATGCATTTTAATTTTGCAAAAGTGTTTTTAGTATTTTTAAAAGCAACACCAACAATGGTTGACAGGCATAAAGGTATTTGCTGGGGATGAGGTGAAAACAATACTATGAAGATGAAGTGGAAAATAAAGATAAATTGGTACCATGGCAAGATGCAAGAGAGGGAAGGCTCAAATAGGTCAGGACAACTGAAAATGAATCAATTTTCTCAAGGCTGAATTAGTCATTTCAGTGCCAGTGTTCATACAGATGCCTAAACCTGAAGTTTATGAGTCAGGGTTTATTGATCAAATCACAGCAGCCTAGTACAGTACATAAATCCTGCTAAGCCACAATGCCTAGGTTCTGCCATCACACTTACCAAAAAAATAAATAGCAAACTACATTTTAGTTAAGTGAAATGTATGAATCCATCAGTTGCTACATTTTCTTAAAGTATTTTTGATTGTAATTATTTTGACCAAGACTGAGTGAATCATGATTTATTCAGTTAACCCCATATATGGATTTACATGGCATAAAGAAGCTGGTAAAGCAGGAATTAAAACAAGGAGTCCAGAATTTGAAAAGGAGAAAAAAAAACCACTTAAAGTTTAGAACCAAGGAAGAGAAAGGAAGCTAACTTGATTTCTGTGTTTTGCAATAAGCAAACCTTCTGCATAAATAGTGTTCTTTTTGGCCTGCAATAAATCAATTTATCTACTCGTACTCTTCCCTTAACTAGTTCATGTGAGACTGAATTTGTGGAATTAAAGGGTTACTCTCATGTCTCTGTGAAGTCTGAGAAATGGGTTTAGTTAACATATATTCTAAATAGGTTTTCGGTCTAAAAATATTCTGACAGTCATTTCTATAACTTTGCATATCACCATAAAACAGTATTTCTCAGCAACTTTAAGACATGTGGACTTCAGTTCCCAGAATTGAATGCTGGCTGGAGAAATCTGAGAGTTGAAGTCCATATATTTTAAAACTGCTGAGGTTGAGAAACACTGTCTTTCTAGAATTGCACAAAGGGGCTAACCCTTACAGAATATTTATCATGATCAACATGGTATGAAATTCTTCTCTCCCTTCCTTGCTGTAATTATAAATAGGAGAAAGATTATTTGAGGTTTTTTTCCTGTTTCTGTTGTTGCAGCATTTTGTCATCTTAGAATAATCTTTTGGAAGGCTCCTAAAAAGAAGACCAAAATGACCAAAACTGAAGAACTGCCAGATAACCATACTTCTGAAGAGTTTTATGAAAAATATGAACCTAAGGAAATTTTAGGAAGGTAAATATTTGAAAGTTGGTGCTGTCATAATAGGTAATTTGCTATGTGACCGTCAAAACAAAAAATGCATTTATTCCTTTAACCAACATTTTAGGAAGCAATGTAAGTTTCAATACAATCAATTCAGAACATAGCAAATTAATCTGGATGTATTTCAAATAATTTAGTTACAAGAATAGATAACGGAAAATAATTAAATTTGAAACTTCAGTCCCTGAAAATGGACGGTAGGTATAGTCAAAGCATTTGTAAATATTGGAGAAAATTACTGTATTTTAAACTTTTCATAAACACGGCAGCGGAAACAGCTGGATATAGTTTTTCCTCAGAGGAGACTTCTAGAGTACCATTGAACAGAAAATCTGAAAATAGTTTGCCTACAATAGTTTGGTACCTTCCAGATGTGGTAGATCAGGGCTTTTCAACCTTTTCACCCATTGTACCACTTTTAGGATATGGCAACATCAATAAAGTACAGGTAGTCCTCGACTTACAACAGTTTGCTTAGTGACTCATAGAAGATACAATGGCACTGAAAAAAGTGCCACAGCCGAGCAAAACACCTGCCTGCCCACCCGGCAGCGCTCTTCCTCCTGTCGGAGGTTTTCATTGTGAACATTTCTGTTGAGGATTGGCAGTTGTGGTGGGGTGGGGGGGGGTGTTTGGTTTTTATTCCCCCCATCTGCTGGTGGTTGCAGCAGGTTTTGGTCACTTCACATGACCCTGGGACACTGTGACTGTCATAAATATGAATCAGTTGCCAAGCATCTGAATATAAATCACAAGACCCGGAGATGCTGCCACATTCCAGCTGATTGGTGCTTCTTCTGGGCTCAGCAGAAGCACCAGGATCAACGCCAAGCTCCACTTGGAGCCTGGCGCTGATCCTGGTGCTTCCACTGAGCCCTGACAGCCCCGAAAAAGTGCCGATCAGCTGGAAAGTGGCATTGATCCTGGTGCTTCCGCTGAGCCCTGACAGCCCTGCAGCTCCAGCCATCTCTCGCTCAGGCTTGTGCAGTGCTGCCACCGGTTTAGCTCATTCCCCTCCTCCACTACTTTTCTAGGATGGTCGTGTACCACCTGACAGGTGCCAATGTACCATAGGTGCTACCCATACCACTGGTTGAAAAGCCCTGTGGTAGATAATAATTCCTATAATCTAGATGTTATTTGCTTTTGAGCAGCCTATACTTTACACATGAAGTTGGCAGTCTCCCTGACTGTTCCCTGATACTGGACTCAAAGGTAAACTGCCATTGAACAAGGAGTTTCTACCCATCGCTCAAGGCCTAATGTTGTTGGTATTTTTTCATCCTTTGGTCCACTTTTAAATCAATCTAATATAATGACCATTGCATTTTGTACCTGTAAATTTCATTAAAGTTTTTTTGTTCTGTTGCAAATCTTCTGCCAACATATGCACCCACATTTTAGTATTTCTGAGAAAAGATCCATTTTTCTTCCCTTCTGCACTCAGATGATGTATAAATAAGGTAAAATACATTTAATTGATTTCATCTCAGCTGCAGATTTCAATATCTGTTTAACAAACTCTTTTACTAAATTTCCTGAGATAATTTTTTGGGTTGAGAGGCATTCTTAAAGAATAGGAAATGGACAGTTCTTCCATGTAGCCTCCTCATTTGTAATTTTACACACACACACACACACATTCAGAGAGAGAGAGAGAGACAGAGAAACAGATGAAAAACTATTTTTACCTTTAATATACACAATATACAGCCACACAATCAGCAAGGGATGGTCTGTTTTCCATTTCATGGGCTCTGTGAAATAATTTAATTTTTATCCTCTTTTATTCTGCAGTCCTGCTTCTGTTTAGAAGCATTTCATAGCCTGAATATTGCCTATTCAGAAAAAATAAATCAGAAGTCTGGTGCCTCTTTTCAGGCTAACATATTTTATTTAAATTTATTTAAATAAATTTAAGTGATTGATATCATGAATGTGCCATGATTACAGGACTGTTTTGGTGTTGACTGAAAAAAGTAAAGCCAATTCAGGAAAAAAAGTTATTTTAATCTAAATGGTAAAGGTTTAGGAAATGATAGGCTAGTTGTTTGGAGAGCTTTATAGAAAGGAATAAATTATTAGTTCTCCAAGGGAATAATGAAATGTTATACTTCACAGTCCACGAATAAGTTCCAAAGGAACATCCCTTTACATAAGAACTCTTTTCTAGTATAAAATATTCCTTCCATCAATAGAATACAGTTGAAGATCACACTATTTTGAACAATTTTGGCTTCAACAAAATGATTGGCTTCAACTCTCAACAATGTCCATATCCTCAATTATTATCTCTAAATGTGCTGTTAATCTAGACTCTGACTATCCAGCTGTGTGGACATAAAAATGGTGCACAGTAATACTATAACATAAAAAATGGTGGCATGGAGTGGAATAACTTAATTTCACCCTACAGCTTTCACATTCCCATGAAGATCTTTTGCTATTCTACGAAGAAAATACCTACAAGCATTTGTGATATGGCAGCATTTCCAATAACTGCCAATTTTTAATAAATCCATTTAGCCTTGCCATTCCTCTTTTCACGTTGAACATGAGGGAATAACAAAGGGGTAACACAGCCTTTTAGAGACCTGTGTTTGTGTGTGGGTTTGATTCTTTCCCTCTCTCTAATTCTCCCTCTTTCTTCCTAAGATTTCTTTTATGCGTAATGTCTTTTCAGAGGAGTAAGCAGTGTTGTCCGCAGATGCATTCATAAAGTCACTCGACAAGACTACGCTGTTAAAATTATAGACATCACAGCTGGAAATCTCTCTCCACAAGAAGTTCAGGAGCTGAGAGAAGCCACTCTAAAAGAAATCAATATCCTCCAGAAAGTGTCTGGACATCCTAACATTAGTAAGTTAGATTTTGCTTCCAGATCATCCTAATTATACCATATCAATAAACCAGTGAAGATAAATACAATGGAATTACTATTGGCTGGGTTTGCATGACATGCATAACCACCTCCTTCTTGCAAACGGTGATTATGTGCTATGCAGAATATAGAACATATGTTCCATTGGCTGGAAGGAACCTTTGAGATCTTCTATTCCAGGGGTAGGAAACCTTGGCTCTTTTATGACTCGTGGACTTCAACTCCCAGAATTCCTGAGCCAGCCATGCTGAGGGGAAGGGAGAGGTTTCCAAGCTGAGCCATGCTGGCTCAGGAATTCTGGGAGTTGAAATCCATGAGTCATAAAAGAGCCAAGGTTGCCTACCCCATTCTAGTCCAACCCCTGCTCAAGCAGGAGACTGTCAGAATTGCCACTTCTCTATCAGTCTGCCAGGAACCCTGGGGAGAGGCTGGAAGGGAGAGCAAGGCATGGAGGGAAAGTGAAACTGAACTGTGAGAACAGCTCTCTGTGAGAACCAATGACGTTTCCAAGGTCGTTTTCCTGGGAGCAGAATGCCAACACGTAGAGTGACTGTTTCCAAAACATCTCTTTTAAAATTGATTGGACAATGAGAGACAAACAATAGGAAAGGACTTATTTCATTCCGGACAAACAGCTCTCCAATCTCTTCTTAAAAACCTCCAGTGATGAAACACCTACAGCTTCTGGAAACAAGACATTTCACTGATCAATTGTTCTGTCACGGAATTCTCCTTAGTTTTTTGTTAGTCTGCCCTTGATAAGTTTCCATCCACTACTTCTTGTCCTGTCCTCAGGTGCTTTGGAGAATAAATTGATCCCTCTTCCTTGTGACAGCCCTTCAAGTATTGGACGATTGGCTATCGTGTCACCCTAGTCCTTCTCTTTGTTAGACTAGATATGCCTAGTTCCCTCAGCAGTTCATTGTATGGTTTAGCCTCCAGACTAATTTAATTTAATCAATATTTTTACAAATACATTTCTAATTTTGGTAGCCTTTACTCATTTTTAAACAACTGAGAATCCAAAATCCTTCTGATTAACTAGAAAACCACCTGATCTGCTAACCACCTTTTCTGTTGACCTTTTCCATTTCAACCAATAGTCCAGATTAGCCCCTTCCCCACTTTCCCTTGCACTACTTGGGGTGGTGTATTTTCAATTTGCTGATGAATCAGCATTATTATAAATGCAGGATACAATTTCAAGAGGAAGAGTTTATGTTTGGAAAAAGAGCGTCCAGTTAATGTTAGCTACCATATTGCTAAATGTCAATGAAGATTCTCAATCATCCGGGTCATGGTTGTCCCAACGGTGCTTTTCCAAAAGGCGACTGGGCTTTTTTGTTTTTTTCCTTGAAAAGATTTCACTTCTTATCCAAAATGCTGCATCAGTTCTGAAGAACTGAAGAAGCTTCTTGGACAAGAAGTGAAATGTTTTCAAGGAAAAAAACCAAGAAAGTCAAGTTGCTTTTTGAAAAAAATACAGTATTGCTACTTTCTAGTACTGTATGAAGGAAAGCTATGAGCAAATTTATCATCCCTGTGCCGTTTGTAAGAAATTGTTGGCATCTTCTGGCCTGGAAAGAATCCTAAGCCTTCCTATACAAACATAGATGACAACAAGATCATATTAGTCTGTCTGTCTGTCTGTCTGTCTGTCTGTCTGTCTGTCTCTCTCTCTCTCTCTCTCTCTCTCTCATAATAATATTTCTTACAAATGATCAATCTTTGTATTTTTTCTTTGAATCTGCTCCGATCCTTACATCTACAATGCAAGTTATATATATTTATGAAAGCACTAACATCTCTAGCCTGCTCTGTCCCCAGAGGCATAGAGAAGTATACACAGAAAAACCAGGGGTCTAAAAATAACTGAACAATAAACAATATAGATTAAAATGGGACTGCCTCAAATTTAATATCTCCAAGAGCCAAGTTTCCATGTCATGGAATAATCATCATAAATAAATAATGAACAGGCATTTTGTTCATAACATGCCCCATGTAACAGTCATTGAAAATAAGAAAATCTGATTCACTGATGTTGCTACACCCCATGATGTTAGGACTGAGGAAAAGCAATCTGAAAAAAGATTACAAAATACCGGGGTTTGTAGATTGAGGTTGAATGCTTATATATATAAAAAGAAATCTGCTGTTATACCAATTGTGATTGAAGCCCTTGGAACAATACTTAAAGAATTTCTTCAATATTGGTCACCCTAATTTTACAAAAAAAAAAAAAAAAAATACCCTGCTTGGGACTGCCTCTATCTTGCTAGCTTAATAATTCTTAGGTTCCTGGTTAGAAATTCAATTATTACATTTTCATCAGTCTTTGACTGTGAATCTAATTGTAGATTAGTTATATAATGATGAATTATCACAAATGTAAGTTCCTCCAATACAGAGAAAATGAGACAGTGACAATTCACAGGGAGATCCTATGCATGTCTATTGAGAAATAAATCTTTACTGTATTTGCAAAGCACCATTATGGTTTAACAATTGCTTGTTGAATAAACTATCCTTGGTTGTATCCACCCATCTTCTTAAGTTATGCCAAAGAAATCATATTATGGTTTAAGGCAAAGTGTGAACAGAAATGCTGAAGTGAATGGAATTTAATTCCTAATAAGAGTGCATAGATTATATATTTAATGGTGGGAGGTTCTTGCTCAAAATGCCTTCATAATAATTAACTTAGCGTGACTTTTTGCTACACTGCCTCTGGATGGATAATAGGCAGTCTTTTAAATGAAATTAATAAATATTACTAATGTGGTTTAAATAGCTCATCAGAAGCTGAGACTGATGATAATCATCCTAAGTAACTCCTCGTCTTCTTTCTGCTTCTCCTTTTTCCATCATTGTCATGAGTTGAAATGGATACACTCAGGGACAAAACTTAGTGAAGAATAGATGTAAGCCCCTAAGTTCAGCTGGGAATATATAATATGAATCTTGGGTTGTTGGTTCTCTCTGAGCTTGGTTGTTTTCTTGAAGGAGTTTCATTAGCTAAACTAGGTAATATCATCAGTGCTAATGGATCATCAGGAGCACTGATAATGTTACCTAGTTTGGGTAATGAAATGTCTGCAAGAAAACAACAAAGCACAGAGTACCAAGGACCCCTCATTTCAACTCTGAGCTACAAATATTATCCTTTATTAATATGGATCCAGGGGTGGGATTCAGCCAGTTTGCACCACTTCAGCAGAACCGGTAGCTAATTTTTTGTTGCCCAGCCCAGAATGGACTTCTGAAAGTGGCATCCACACAGAGAACCAGTTGTTCATATATCTGAATCCCACCACTCTATGGATCTCATTTTTTATTATGTGCCTGAGGTTTAGACTGGATTTGGCATTTTTATCTATCTAGGTGGTTACTTGGTGGCACATAATAAAAAATGTGGATCTTTTTTACTGCGTGTTAAAACAGTGATTTTGGATTGTCTCTCTGTACATGAAAGAAATATAAGAATAAAATCAGGAAGCCATCCATGAGGAGTATAAGTATGTGATTAGGAGGGGTAACGGCTTGGCAATGCAACACTTTACAAGGTCTCAGGTTCAGATTCTACTGTTTTTTCAAAACCAGAGATTTTAGAAAGTCACTTGTTGTCAAAGTGGAAAATGCTAGGATAGGTGAATGGACCAGATGAGGATAAAGCAGCAGCATCCTATGTTCCTTTTCTATGGACAGAGAAGATCCAGGGCACACATGCAGAAAGACAGAACAGTCTCTGTGGTTGTGCAATGAAGCTAGGGGTTTGTGCTTCAGTACCTTTCCATTCCTGCTTCGTTTTTAAGAAAATTTGCAATGTTATTTCACATTCCTAAAATATCCCGTTTTGTTTCCAGTCCAGCTGAAGGACAGCTTTGAATCTCACACCTTTTTCTTCCTGGTGTTTGATTTGTAAGTACCAATGTTCTTTTTTGGGGGAGGAGGAAATATCAAATATATCCTCCTAAAGTGACTTTTTTAGGCTGGTGGGATTGCCTTATGCTTTCTATAGTACATGCCAGGAAAGCAGTTTCAAAACCTTAGTTAGAAAAGTGGTGTCAACTATCATCTGTTGGCCAACTTGACTTGGTAGATGGATAACCTGTGTGGAAATATACTCACTGAGGTAATACTACTACTACTACTACTACTAATAATAATGATGATGATGATGATGATGGAAGGGATCTTAGAGGTCATCTAGTCCAACCCCCTGCTCAGGCAGGTAGATCAATGTACTACTTCAGAGGTCACTTCTTGATAGAGCACATATTTACAAATGTGGAATTTTCTATCATCAAATGTAGATTGCTAACTTGAATACCTTGAAAGAAATAAACAAATTCATTTATTTTTATTATTATGGTTGATTGCACAGTCAGCCTGAGGTTTAGACTGGATTTGGCATTTTTATCTATCAAGTCCTTCCCAAGAACCTGGAATAGACAGAAGCTGTTGTTTCATGGTATTAAAAGGATCATTGTTCGACATAAGCTGCCTTTTGCAATTAACTGGTGGTGATTTTGTCAATGCTGACATGGTGCTCAAGTGATGCTCCAGATGTTTTGGCATTGTACCCAAGGCGCCTATTACCATTACCATTACCATCTTTGCTTTTTTTTTTCCACAGTCATTCTACTTCTGTTTGGAGGTCTTTGTATTTTTTTATTTTCTTCTATTCCGCTTCCTCCAGATTCTTCCATGTCCACTATCCAACTTTTTTGTCTTTCTTATTGACAATTGTTAAGTCTGGGGTGTTATGTGGCAAGTGCTTGTCTGTTTGAACTGTAAAGATCCAGAGCACTTTTAGCTTCTTCATTTTCTGTTACTTGTCTATTTTGTGGTGTTACCAGTTCTTGCTTTCAGGCAAATGGTACTTCTTGCATATATTTTTCTCCACCATAGAAAAGGAGACAATGCCAATTCACTGTGCAATCCTATGCCTGTCTACTCAGGAGTAAATCTTACTGGCTGTGTTTGTACACCGTGTTTAATTGTGGTTTGTTTTAACCATTGTTTAGTAAATAAATCATAATTGACAGGGTTTACACATATGTTAAACTACAAGTAGTCCTTGACTTATGACCACAAACTGAGCCCAAAATTTTGTGTTGCTAAGTGAGACATTTGTTAAGGAATTTCGCCCCATTTTACAACTTTCCTTGCCATAGTTGTTAAGTGAATCATTGCAGTTAAGTTAGTAACACGGTTATTAAGTGAATCTGGTTTCCCCATTGACTTTGGTTGTCAGAAGGTTGTCAAAGGTGATCACATGACCCCGGGACACTGGGGGTCATAAATATGAACTAGTTACCAAGCATCTGAATTTTGATCACATGGCCATTGGGATACTGCAACGGTTGTGTCATAAGTCACTTTTTTCAGTGCTGTTGTAATTTCAAACAGTCACTAAATGAACTGTTGTAAGTCGAGGACTTCCTGTATAAAACAAACAAAAATGGTAACAGTGTAGGACTAGGATGAGGAGAAACAGTTTTTGGATCAATCCTTCTCTCTTGGCCTAGGCCTAGAGTATTTCACTGGCTAAGATGGGGGAGGGAATCATGTATGTCACAGATATGTAGTTTACCCAGATTTCATACAGGAATTGTGGGAATATAAATACAACAAGAAGCCCTCATAGCTAAGTGAAATGTCCATGTCCAGGAACAGTCTACCTCTTAGGCAAGTAAGAGCAGAGGGTCATGCTTGCCAGGTTTTCAAAGGCCTTGGACCACTTGATAAAGGCCACAGTGTTTAGGAGCAGGGTGGAGCATGACGATTCCAGCAAAAGACTTCTTGTATTCTACCCTCCAGCCATATGTTGCAATTTGATATCTATACCAGCTTGTTTAACTGTTTGTGAAGGTCTCTGCTGATCCCAGGGCCATCTGTACCATCCACCACTTCACCCACCCCCAGCCACAAGGGAGGGAGGCTTTCTGCAGCTGTCTCATCTTCCTGGTCCCGTATCGTTAGCCTGCTCAGATTTCCACATAACCTTTGCTAACGTTTTAGCTGTCACAGATCCATACTATTTTTAGGCATCCTGGACTTGTGTAATACTTTCACGGATATCTGCCTGAAACTGCTCTACCAGCATTACCACTTCCATGGGGAAAGAAAATTCCAAACTCAAGAAGTTGTTTAAAACAGATTGTTTGAGGATTCTTGCCAATGAAAAACCTGACAGGCTACAAAGGGATGTAACAACTGCCTCATAATACAGAGAGGCATATAGAACTATGATTTTTTTAAAAAGCAACTTGTAATATTGACAATAATAGCATAAATGAAATACAAATTCTAGACTTACGACCACAATTGAGCCCAAAATTTCTGTTGTTAAATGAGACATTTCTTAAGTGAGTTTTGCCCCATTTTACAACATTTCTTGCCACGGTTGTTAAGTGAATCACTGCAGTTGTTAAGTTAGTAGCGTAATTGTTAAGTGAATTGCAAAAGGGGATCACGTGATCCGAGGACACAGCAACCGTCAGTTGCCAAGTGTCTGAATTTTGATCCCAGGATGACGGGGATGCTGCAAAGGTTGTAAGTGTGAACAATGGTCCTAGGGCACTTTTTTCAGTGCCGTTATAATTTTGAATGGTCACTAAATGAACTGTTGTAAGTGGAGGACTACCTGTATAGAGAAGCTTGCAGAATAGTGATTTTTTAAAAAGCAATTTGTAAAGTATACAATAATGGCTTAAATTAAATATTTAAATCAGACTTCCTGATTCAGTGCCCTCCAGATGAGGAGAAGGCAGCCTGCTGGCACCATTTCAACTAATGCATTTTATTAAAAGGATTAATCTTTTGGGAGTTATGGCTGACATTTTCAAATGCACAGTGATTAAATTGACACAGAATATAACCTGGGGTGAGGGGTCAGGTGAAAGAGAGGAAGCAAGAAGACAGGTGGCTGTGCAGATACAGTTTACATGTGAGGCACATTATAAGTACCTTATCAGTTAACAAATGTAATACATTAAGAACCTTTTGTCTGTGTTGACAAAGATGGTCTGAAATCTTTTGATGTTTAGGTAGTCCAAAGCTTACAACCATTCATTAAATAACCATTCAAAGTTACAACAGTAGTGAAAAAAGTGACTTATGGCTGTTTTTTCACGTTTACAACCATTGCAGCATCTTCATGGTCATGTGATCAAAATTCAGCTGGAATGTATTTATGATATTTGCACTGTCACCGGGGTCATGTGATTACTGTTCGTAACCTTCCTAGCTGGCTTCCAACAAGCAAAGTCAAATGGGCCAGATTTGCTTAATGATCTTATGATTCATTTAACAATTGCAGCAATTCACTTAACTATGGCAAGAAAGGTCATAGAATGGGGCAAAATTCACTTAACAACTGCCTTGAATAGTGGAAATTTTGAGCTCAGTTGTGGTTTTAAGTCTAGGACTATCTGTATTTTATTAAATTCCACAATCTCTCAGCTTTACAAATCAACAATCAGATTCCTGATGTTTGGCTACCATAGACCACTGTTTCTTAACCTTGCCAACTTTATCCTGTGTGGACTTCAACTCCCAGAATTCCCCAGCCAGCATGTTGAAGTTGCAGTCCACATTTTAAAGTTGCCAAGATTGAGAAACACTGGGATGGACAGTCACATACAAGGCAGAAGCAGAAGTGTCATATTGTGGGTCCATGTTTTGGTTTTATACCTTTCTTCATTTTTAACATATTCTACATGTCTAAATTTTCTCCCTAAACAGAATGAAGAAAGGGGAGTTATTTGATTACCTTACAGAGAAGGTCACCTTAAGTGAGAAGGAAACTAGGTGAGCTATTTCAACTGACTTGCCAATCTTGTCATCTGTCAAAACATGGAACTTCCTTCCTCTTTCATATAAGGGTCTCTTGCAAGCTAGTGAAATATGTGGTGCTTGGTGTAATCGATTATACAGATTAGTTGTGACTAAAATCTCATTAGTTTAAAAATAACAAAGTTTAGCAATCTTAGGCTAGATCTGTACAGTACTATATTACGATTCACCTCAGCCATAGCTTAGTGTATATGAAGTACTTTAAGACATGTACAAAATGTTTTCTTCTCTCCTTGCCAACTTTAAGATATGTGGACTTCAACCCCCAGAATTCCTCAGCCAGCATAAAGTATTCTTGAGCAAGATTGAGAAACACTGCTCTATTTGCTAGCCATAAGCAACTCATTTACCTTTCCAGGGATTTCAAGCATTTATAAGAGGTGTTCAGGGTGAAATTCAGTTAGAGATGCTGTTTTAATGGATTTCTGCATTAGGCGGGGGTTAAACTAGATGTGCTCCTGGTTCCCTTATACCCCTTACAATCTATACTACAGTATAATTCTATGAAAGCACATTACAGTATAGGATTTCTTGCACCTCTTTACTGTCCTCTAGTGGTTGTCTAGAATTGGGGTAGGCAGCCCAGATCTGATAGCCCTGGTGACATAATCCCCAAATGCACATATCCATTCACATCTAATGATTGTGATATCAAAATACCCCAATCTGACATGCTCTCCTAATATGTTGGAGATCTTCCAAAATATCTGAAAATTAGGGAAGACCAGTTGATCAATGAGCAATGCCAGGAACCAAGCATGGGTCCTTGGCAAATGTATAAAAAATGTCTGCTTTTTCCAGATATTTGCTCATTTAACTGATCAGACCATTTTCTCCCTATAGGAAAATTATGCGTGCTCTTTTGGAAGTGATCCAGTTCCTTCATTCCTTGAACATAGTCCACAGAGATCTCAAACCAGAGAACATCCTGCTAGATGACGACATGAACATCAGACTCACTGATTTTGGCTTCTCATGTCAGCTGCAGGAAAATGAAAAACTCAAAGGTGGCCTGTCCATCTTGGGCAGAGATGATTTTAAGGGGCAGGACTGTGAATTGGTGGTCTGCCTGTAGCCATGAAGCTTAGGAACGTAGATAAGGAGAGACCTACATTGAATCAGCTTGCTCAAAACAGCAGTAGCATGTTGTATTAATCCAGCTATCACAATTTGCTAACCATAATGTTAAAACTTTGCATATGGCAGTGGACTTAGCCAACTGCAAATCATTAAGTAAGCCATGGAAACCTAGGGTTTAATGCAATGTGTAAGTAATTTTCTACATTGACTAAGGGCACTTCTTCAGGATTCCATACAAGGTTATGTCTTAGAAATTGAATTAGGGATCTTTTACAGACAGACAATTTGCTTGATTGCTAAACCATCTTTAAGTCCTCTTTAGCTGCTCCAATGTTTTTCTTCCTACACAAATTTTGTTGTGGATATGAACTGACATGCTTCATTGATACAGTTGGTGATGATATATTTGGAGACAAAGATTGTAACTGTTGTGGTCATTTTAGGCTACTGCAACCATATCCTGTCTCCTCTGGTCTTGGGCATGGTTATCCAGGGAAGATTAGACATGTGACTTCCACAGAAACATCTGCCTGCATAATGCTAGACCATTGCTTTATGAAACACTTGCAGTAAGCTTCTTGTATTCCTGGAATTAGCATTCTTGTGAAAGAGCACTAGATCTATGTGTTAAGAATAGGATAAATTTTCTCTTGGGTGATCAAGCTAAACTGAGAAAGACCAGAATTTTGCTATATTCAGACCCAGGTTGTAAATCCCCTTTTTCGGTCCTTTGTAGATTTGAACACTCACTAAGCAACGGGTCATAGGGCTGCCTATAATGCCCAATTCCCGAGTTTAATCAGTATCTTGAACCATAAGGTAGCCAACTGGATTAGGTGTATCTGATATGCCAAACCACCAAGGAAAACTAAACTTCACACATTGTGTCAATGCAATCTTTTAATTCATCTGGCTGATTTGGCTTTGAGCGGCAAGACTTGCATCTCCTGAAACAAGGTCATCAAAGTTTCAGCCCATTTTTTATTGCTTTTCTTGCAGAGATCTGCGGCACTCCTGGCTACTTGGCTCCAGAAATACTAGAATGTTCCATGGATCCAGATCATCCAGGTTATGGGAAGGAAATTGACATGTAAGCAGGATTGTGTGGCAAGTTCATCCATTACCGTAAGCCACAATTTGGGTTATTTGGGTTTAAGCAAATAGCATGTGAGTTTTGGATATTCAGAGGATCTAGCACAATCAATGATGTATGAACATCATTAATTGTGGCATATTAGTAAATCATGGCTAGTACAACACAGCTTAGAATGTGAATTCTGCTCTATTTATCCTAATGAAAAAATAAATGTAGCTTTTTGAGGAACTCACTTTATTTCCCATCCAATCTTCTACAGCACTGTTTCTCAATTTTGGCAACTTCAAGATGTCTGGATTTCAGCTCCCAGAATTCTCCAGCCATTTTGCTGGCTGGAGAATTCTGGGATTTGAAATTGTCAAAATCACAATCCTAGGCTGCATTAACAGAGAGATAGAATCAAGATCATGTGAAGTGTTTATAACAGTTTATAATGCTCTAGTAAGACCATGCTTGGAATATTGCATCCAATTTTGGTTGCCACAATGTAAAAAAGATGTTGAGAGTTAGAAAGAGTGCAGAGAAGAGCAACAAAGATGATTACAAGACTGGAGGCTAAAACATACAAAGAACAGTTGCAGGATTGGTTATGTCTATTTTAATAAAAAGAACTAGGAGTGGCATGATAACAGTATTCCAATATTTGAGGGACTGCCACAAGGAAGAAGGGGTCAACCTATTCTCCAAAGCACCTGAAGGCAGGAGAAGAAGCAATGGATGGAAACTAATCAAGGAGAGAACTTAGAACTGAGGAGAACTCTCTTGACAGTTAAAACAATTAATCAGTAGAACAACTTGCCTCCAGAAGTTGTGGATGCTCCAACTCTGGAAGGTTTTAAGAGGAGATTGGACAACCACTTGTCTGAAATGGTATAGGGGTGGTTTTTTTGCCTGAGAAGGGGGTTGGACTAGAACACCTCCAAGGTCCCTTCCATCTCTATTATTCTGTTATTCTTAAAGTTGCCAAAGTTGAGAAACAATGTTCTATGGAGATGACTTTTCATCTCTGTCCATGTTATTGCTTTTTTAAAATGCCAGTTTCTCCCAAATTTGTCTTGTCCAAAATTATGCCCTCTTAATATATTGGACTACACCTTGGTGTATTTCCAGCATAAATTGGACAAATTATTTGCTTTAAGCACCAGCATATATAATTGTTTGTGGTACAATTATACCACAATTACAATATGTGGTATAATTGCTGTGTAAGTAAGACCATAACGATCATTAGTCTGCTTAAAACTTTATTACCTACTGAAGGCTAGAAAAGAAGACAGAAAAATCTGTCCTGCTGCAACAAAGATGTTCTCCATCAAGCTGCTTGTTCATCGGCAGGGAATCTTTTGAGCTGATCTGTGGTATTGTATGGTGGTATTGTATGGTGTAGCTTAGGATACAAATTCAGCTTAGGTCAATGAATATTTTGTTTCCCTGCATTTAACATTTTTAACGCAGGAGAACAAAACATTCACAAACATTGATCTTCAAAAATGTTCAGTTTGTCCTCCTGACGGTTTCTATGTCTCAGGTGGAGTACAGGAGTCATCATGTATACCTTGCTGGCTGGATCTCCTCCTTTCTGGCACCGGAAGCAGATGCTGATGTTAAGAATGATCATGAATGGAGATTACAAATTTGGGTCTCCAGAGTGGGATGACCAATCAGATACAGTCAAAGACTTGGTAGGTAAATGTCTACGGAGATTCTCAGTCATCTAGGTCACGGTTGTCCCAAAGGTGCTTTTTTCATGAGGCAACTGGACTTTCTTGTTTTTCTTTGAAGACGTTTTGCTTCTCATCAGCTGAAGAAGCTTCTTGGATGAGAAGCAAAATGTCTTCAAAGAAAAATAAGAAAGTCCAGTTGCCTTGTGAAAAAAGCACCTTTGGGACTTGGTAGATAACTTCCACCTGGATGGATCCAGAGGCTCTTGGAGAAAAATGCAGGATAGGGAAAGATCAAAGTAATTGGAACAGCTGTTGATTAAGAAATTAACACCAAAAGTCAGTACTTGAGCCCAATAGGAAAATGGTTCCCCTTTGTTTCTTGGTGTTCACTGTTCTGTGTAATGGGATTGTATGGAGAACCTCTGAATACTAATTATTAACCAGTGCTAGACCTGTTGTGTTTTTTCACTGTGTTCAAAAAGCAATGCCACAGCTTCTGAGACACAACTCTGTTCTTCTGCCTGCAGATTGCCCACTGTTTAGTGGTGAAGCCGCAGAATCGTTACACGGTACAGGATGCCCTCACCCACCCCTTCTTCCAGCAGTACATGGTGGAGGAAGTCCGGCACTTCAGCCCCTTCCGGAAATTCCGGGTATCCCAAATTGCAGAGAATTCTGGGAAAGAGAATTTTCTTCAGTAATAGCCAAGGATGGGAGGGGGGTGTTAACAAAGTTGAGATGATTATAATTGAAGCTTTTTGTTACCTGCCCTGCATGTAAAATAGATATGAGCTTAGATCGTCCGATTCCTGCCCACCATTTTAACTTTTTTGACCTGCCCCACGGATGTGCCTGTGCTGACTCTGATCAGGAGCTCTTTTCAAATGGAAAAGGGGAAGGCTAAGACAGGGGTTGTTGTGGTACCTGCATGCATTATGCTACTGAACTGTGGATCCTAACCAAACAAGATACATTCACACAACACGCTAAACCATTGCAGTTTCCTTAATTTTGGTTCAGTGCATTGTGCAAGCTTGTGACTTATTCAGCAAGCTATGATTTAGCATGTCACATGAATCAGGCTTGAGTATCTTGACCAAAATTGATAAATGGCAATACATTAAAGATATATTAACTGTGTTGGCATATATGAAACAAAGTTCCTGATGGAAAACCTGAAAGACCAGGTTAGGGGCAGATTGTCATGATCAAAAGTTTATGTAGTTGCTAAGACTTGACACCAATTTGATGTCACATAAATAAACTAGGCTCAAATGGGGATAAGTAATTGGTGGTTACAGGTTTTATGAAACTCCAGCCATTGCTTAGTATGTTGTAGGAATCCAGTTATCACATTTAAAGGTAGTGGAATTTATTTATTTGAACACAGCATATTAATGAACTTGAATTTAATGTGCTGTGTTAATGTACCGCAACCTGAGAGGTGAACCAAAAGCATCCTGTATATAAAAATAACAGCCTTTTATTGGCAGTGGCCCATTCCTGATGAATTAATGCATCCTTTAAAAGAAAAAAAGAATCACAAACTAATCAGATACACCGTATATGCCGGCGTACAAGGCGACCTGGCGTATAAGACAACCCCCGTCTTTATCGCCGGGCCGCATTCCTAGAACATCGTCTTATACGCCGGAAACTACCAGTATTTCCGGCGTATAAGATGACTCAATGTATAAGACGACCCCCGTCTTTGGCACCGATTTCAGCTCTCGCGGAAGTCGCCTTATACGCCGGCATTTAGGGGTACTTTAAAGAAAATGCCAGTCTAACAAGCATCTCTTCCCAGGTCATCTGCCTGACTGTTCTGGCCTCGGTTCGGATCTACCTCACCTATCGTAACCTTAAGCCAATCACCCCGGATGTACTGCAGCGTGACCCCTACGGACTGAAGCCGGTCCGCAAACTGATTGATGCTTGTGCCTTCCGGATCTACGGCCATTGGGTGAAGAAGGGAGAAGCTCAAAACAGAGCTGCCCTCTTTGAAAACACTCCCAAAGCCATCCTGCTCAGCTTGGCTGCTGAAGAGGAACTTCTCTGATTTCCAAAATCTCCAGGGAGAAAGCAATTCAAACAGCCTTTGGCATCTTCCTAATGGGCTGACCTGGGAATTCCAGCACGGTCCCAACACATGTGCTGACTTCAACTCCCACAATTCCCCAGCGAGCAAAGATGGAAATGAGATAGCAAAATGTAAAGCTGAATATAGATAAGAATGCCTTTTCACTAAGTGCATTATTAGTATTATTATTGTTGGTCATGCAATCAGTTTAGACTGGATCTGGCATTTTTGTTTACCAGTTACAGGTAGCCTTTGACTTACAACCATTCATTTAGCGACTGTCTGAAGTTACAACAGGACTGAAAAAAGTGACTTGCAACTGGTCCTTGTGCTTACAACCCTCACAGTATCCCCACAGTCATGTGACCAAAATTCCAGCACTTAGAATGGAGTACAGGTAGTCCTCGACTTACCACAGTTCATTCAGTGACTGTTTGAAGTTATAACAGGACTGAAAAAAGTGACTTATGACCATTTTTCACACTTACAACCGTTGCAACATCACCCATGGTCACATAATCAGAATTCAGACACTTGGCAAGTGATTCATATTTATGACGGTTGCAGTGTCCCAGGGTCTTGTCATTGTCTTTTGTAATCTTCTGACAAGCAAAGTCAGTGGGGAACCCAGATTCACTTAGCAACCACATAACAACTGTGGCAAGACAGGTCGTAAAGTGGGGCAAAACTCACTTAACCAATGTCTTGCTTAGCAACAGAAATGTTGGGTTCAATTGAGAAGTAAGTTGAAGATTACCTGTATTGACTCTGCTCTAAACCATTTTTGATAATGAGATGGGCAGCATATAAATGCAATAAATTTAAATTTAATAAATACAATTTAATAAATAAATTTATGATGGTGGCAGCATACCAAAATAATGTGATAACCAATTCCAGTCAGTTTTCAAAAAGCAAAGTCATTGGAGGAAGCCAGATTCGTATAACAACTGTAATGATTTGCTTAACAACCATGGCAAAGAATAAAATCTGGCATGACTCGCTTAACAATCTCTTTGCTTAGCAGTGGAAATTCTGCTCCTAATCATGATCATACGTTGAGGACTATCTGTATTATTTCTGAAACTTCTGTGATCCAAGGATAAATGAAAGGCTCTGGAGTGCAAAGCTGCACTACCAATCATAGTGCTAATTCCCATCCATGAAGGTTTCTCTACTGCTCCAGTCATAGGATGAAAAATTCAACAGGGACCTTTTTCCAATCAGCAAAGAAGTCTTCTCTTATCCCAGGACTGGGTGGCTGCTTTGAGGCTGAAAACGTTTCATAGAAAGAGACTCACAAGCTTTTTTAATTGTTTTAGGCTGCCAGTTGCTTCCTTAGATGATGTTTAAAAGGCAATGGACAAATTTAATATAACTACATGGATCCTCCATGTTCAGCACAGTTTGTCTTATTTATTTTTTGAATGACGCATTGGAGAAGGAGGGAGTTCCTGCTTCCCTCTTACTGTTGGATTCAGAATGCTGGATTAGCATGTCTTAGAATCCAAGTCTTCCATTCAAAGCGGAGGATATACAATATTTGGCATGATGTCTGAAATGGAACTTCCATGTTTCAAGCCAATCTATTTCTGAATGCCAGCTACTGTGAATCATTGGGGTGGGGTGGGGTGGAGAGAGGGTTGCAGCCTGTCATGCTTCACTGATGTACCGTATTTTGAGCCAGAAGAAGCTATTTAGTTCAGCTGCGCGCTCTGGAATGCCATTACTGCTTAAGATCCAGGTTGCCTTTAGTGCAATGAAACACATCCCAATACAGCAGGAGTAGGCAAAGAAAACATCTAATAAAAGCAGTTCCATTATCTGTAATGAGGAAGATTATAGATGATAAACGTCTAGCATTAACACATAGCTGAGTTATGTTGAAGAGTCTCAGTCACCCAGGTAGTTGCCGAAGTATTAGCAGTCAACTACTACTGGACTCGCTTTTCCTTTTGTTGGTTCGAAATGTTTTGTTGCTTATCCAAGTAGCTTCTTCAGTCTGAACAAGTTGGTTAGGAGGACCACATATATGTCCTCCAATATATATGGGGTCCCCCTAACCAACTTTAACCTAGAACTAAGAAGAAATTTCCTGAAAGATAGAACAATCAGTGGAACGACTTGCCTCCAGAAGTTGTGGCTGCTGCAACACTGGAGGTTTTTAAGAAGAAACAGGACAACACTTGTCTGAAATGGTATAGGGTTTCCTGCTTGAGCAGGGGGTTGGACTAGAAAACCTCCAAGGTCCCTTCCAACTCTGTTATTCTGTTAACTTGCTCAGACTGAAGAAGCTACAGTACTTGGATAAGCAACAAAACATTTCAAACCAACAAAAAGAAAAGTCCAGTTGCCATAACTCAACTCCACATAGATGTGTTATGGACTTATTATTTATTATAGCTGCACATAAAAACATGATTTTTTAAAAAAATATTTAACAAACAATAAATGTGCTTTATTTATTCAATATGACTGAATTGTGATATGTGGATTCTCAAATTTTATCTGAAGTTGACAGAACCTTATTCCAAATTGGCCATAATCCTGTCTCACTTAAAACTACTGCAGACTTGTGCTGGAGAGGAGGGGAAGAGAGGGGGAAAGGAGAGGGGAGAGTTATAAGCAGTTCCTGGAAGGGATCTCAACATCCAAAGAATTAAGAGGCCGGATTATGACATAGCGCCAAACCATAATATGATTTGTTTGATTTTGGTTTATAGTGTTGGGTGAAGAAAGCCAACTGTGGTTTAAGCAATATTTCCAAAGAGGGTATGGGCAGTGCCAGTGACATCACAGCACCCTCACCATGCCCTTTGTGGCTCCTAGGCAAAGTGAGGGCCAAAAAGGTTTCTTATTCTGCCAAACCATTACCTTGTTAATGATGTTTTTTTAAATTAATCAACCAATACAACATGCTGGCTATAGCCACAAGCTATAGCTTGCAAATCTTAACAGATGGGTTTATTCAAAATGCTATAGCAAAAACAAATACTGTATATGCTTTAGAGAAATGAATGAGCCCAGCCAATCTCAGTTTAGGTAGCACAATGGTTTCATACATAGGATTGTTCCAGAATGAAACCAGTAATCTGCAAATAACAAACAATGAGTATCTGAATTATACTTACAACCAGTGGAAAGGTTTTATTCATTTTTAGTTCTAAACAGTAACATTGCCTTTTATCAATATCATGCTAAAAATACCCAAAGTCTTGCCAACAAAAATGCAGGCTGACCCATCTCCATAGGAGAAAAGATCTGGGTCTTTTTAGAAGAGTTTAATATTGTCTTCAGAGTTCAGCCTTTTTGCGGACAGCTTCCTGCCCTGGCTGCTTGACGAGGCTGATGGCACATCGGAAGCTCAAATTGTCTGAAGAAGAATCGGGAGTGTTCCCCATCCTATGGATTAAGAGGAACAGAGTTTGTCTTAGCAGAAGGTCTCCTGGGTCATCTGGCCCAAATCCAGAGCTACTTCAGCATTCCTAAACGTTTTGTCTTCCCATGGGAAATTCTGGGGGTTGCAATCTAAATAGACCTGAACAATGCCAGAGGGGGGAAAAGTGGGTTTTAGTTCATTCAATCAGTTCTTAGTGAGTTTAAAAAGGATTTCCCAATTAATTAAGCAATGGTAAACATTTAAATATTTATTTAACATGGATCATAAATTATGTAAAGAAAGATGCATTCTCGCTTTTTCAACCTCTTCCCCAGCTGTCTGGAGTTTGTATGGGCAATCCCAAGATTTCTCCTTTCTCAGGAATTTTCAGTGGTCTGAATTCAGCATCCAGCTGCTGTTTTCAGTCATAATGACTCCTGTTGCCTGTATTTTCATCACTGGAAATCTTGGTAGTCCTGGCTGCTTTTGACAAAAGACATAAGCAGCATCATGAGGTTATACCAGAAGCTCTACCCTTTTTAAATGCCTATGTGATGTTATGACACACATACAAAAGGGACAGGACTTATTGCGCAACAGCGTACTGTTGCTCTTGTCAGACTGATGGCTACTGCTGATTGCACTTGTCCAGTACATTATAAGTTTTAAAATCTGGAGGAGAAGATGCTGATAAGATGTCACCTGCCAGCATACCTCGTTGTAACCTGAGCTTTGTGATTGGCAGAGCCATCCACTGTATCAATCCAGGATGCTCCTCGCAGGACACACAATTTTTGACCAAGCTGGCGGGATGCAGGACCATTTGGACGATACTCGGAGGATGTCCATTCCCAAGTATTTCCTAGCAAATCGTATAAGCCTGTGATACAGCAAAGACAGTAAAGAAGTATATGAGCCTTGGAAGATCAGAAAGGAAAAGAGCAAATAGGTAGAAAAGTGCATCTACAATTTTTCTGAAAAACTGATGCTGGCATATTCTAAAACTAAACCTGCACTCATCACAAATTCAATTGCTGGCCTGGAATGGAGGTTCCAGTCCAGGTAATCCTTATGTAGCAACTACAATATGGACCAGCAGCTCTATCGCTAAGCAAAATATCATGTGACCACATTGGATTTATTTATGTCATTTCCACTAAGTTAATCACTTGCTGTTTTTGTGACATCATGTAACCACAACTTGCAATTTTACTGTAAAGCTCTCCATTGATTCTGCTTGTCAGAAATCAGCTTTGAAGCATAAAACTAGTGATCATGGGATACAGCAACAACCGTAAGGGTGAGGGCTAATCACAGAGCTACTTTTTCTTGTGCCATTGTAACCAAACACACATTTAACAGGGTAGTCATTAAGCAAGATCCACCTGTATTATCTACAGAACGTTGTAAAATGCAACAATCTGTTAGGAAGACAATTTAGCTTGCTAGAGAGAGGACTAAAACTTTGAACATTCAAGAGCCTTTATTTAAAATGCTCCCTATGCCACATGAAAGCCAGCAGGCTGACCAGTTCCAATGACTATGGCCTGTAATCTTACCATAATTATTTTGAGGAGGGAACGCTGCTACTGGTGATGCTCCACGGAAGCCATCTTCAGCTATGTCAACTTTGGGAAAGTTGCCCTGTGCAGAGAAAGGGAGGTGAATATGTGAACACTTGAGGTAAACAAAAGACAATAAATCCAAACAGGGTGCCACAAAATTCAGGTGGGGGGGCGGGGAGAGTCATAGTTCAAGAGTAGTCTTGAACAGCCTGTGAAACAATGAAATGGTATATCTCAGTGGTGGCGAACCTATGGCACGGGTGCCAGAGATGGCATTCAGAGCCCTCTCGGTGGGCACGCGTGCCGTCACCCCAGTCCTAGGCCTTCAGCTGGATTTTATATTTTCGCTTTAGGCCTCCGCCGCCGTGTGCAAAAAAAAAGGTTCAATCAATCAATTTCAATTTCTCGTGGGGAAAAAAGATCTTGCAAAGTTGGAATTGATTGACTGAACTTTTTAGTCCCACCCAGTCTGCCATTACCACCACAGCCTTGTCCATCCAATTGGCCACAACCACCCAATGGGCCACACCCACCCAATGGGCCACACCCACCCGGCACCCAACGGTGCATAAGTGGGTTTTGGGTTGCAGCTTAGGCACTTGATCTCTAAAAGGTTCGCCATCACTGGTATATCTGATTGACGTTTATGTATCATCAAACTGGTATTAACACTTAGTGACTCCTTTGATTGATTGATTAATCATAGGCTGCCTATCTCACATGCATGATTTCAGGGCAGCTAACAATTAAAACAGAGCACAAGAAAATAAAAAAGCAACCCAAATTGAAAATAACTGAGAGCAACTGAGAATGCTGACAAACAAGCTGTGAAAAATATTCCCTCATGCTATCAGGAACCCCCAGACTTGATGGCAAAGTCAGGTTTCTAATGCCTAAACAAGAGTCTTGGCCAATAAAGATATGCACATATGGAACAAAAGAATCCAAGCCTGCAAAATGGCCAATGGCAGTGTTTTTCAAATTTAACAACTTTAAGATGTGTGGACTTCAACTCCCAGAATTCTCCAGCCAACAAGTATATGAGATGGGCAGGTATACATTTATTCCCTTGACACCTGAAGCAGTAAAAAAGGAAGAAAAGAGAAGTAGAAGCCTATACATTTATTAAATTCCCCACATGCTGGCTGGGGAATTCTGGGAATTGAAGTCCACACATCTTAAAGTTACCAAAGTTAACAAACACTGGTTTACCCCTAGGAATAGCCTTGAACTGGGATAAAATGATGCAAAAAGAAAGATTGGGAGTGCTTATTGTCACTACTCTTAAGAAGGGCTGCACCATGATTTTTACTGAATTTTGCTTCTGCATTTGATTATATCATGCACTTTCTGCAGTGCGGTTATAAATAGATTTGGAATTTTTAAGCAAATTAAACACAATAAATATCGGTGTTGCAATTTTATTTGAGCCAAGTCACATGAATTTTATACAGGAGCAATATAATCCCTTCAGTTTGGATACTAAATATGGGTATTTCAAATCCCTATTTATTCTCAAGACTACATATGAATTCATTCACACATCTACACAATCTGTCTCCCAGTTATTACTGCCTTTTTTAAAAAAATGGTTTTCTCTTGGTTTGATTTTTTCTTTAACCATTTTTGTCATTTTCATCATCCTCTTTAGCTTTTGCTTTTTTCATTTCGTAAAAATAAAAATTCCAGTTTGGTCTCTTACCTGCCAGAGGTTTGTGCGGTTGGCTAAGAATTTATTTCCCCAAGGATACAACCTGTCTAACAAAAAAAAGGAAGAAATAAATAAAATAAAATGGTAATGTCGATCCACACTATCGATTCTAAACATACCAATTTCCTCCCTTCAACCACTGATCCTGGAGCAGCTTATCTTTAATATCAAACATTAAAAAAGCATGTGGATTATTAAAGCCTAAGCCCCTAAACACATTATTTGGATAGCACACTTAGGGCTATTGGTGCCACTGCATTTTTTCTATGTATATGCCCCATTGTGTGCTTGCTTGCTCTCTTGTAATCCTTTTATCTCCAATCTCTCCAGGGAGGGAAAAGCCCAATGCTGGCTGGGGAATTCTGAAAGTTGAAGTCACACATCTTAAAGTTGTTAGGTAGAGAAATACTGTTGTAGACTGCCCGCCTGGATTAAAAGAGCAAGATTTGCTTCCCAAATCTGGTAAATTACCCAAAATTGGGTAAAAGTGGCTTTTCTTTGGCTAACAATATACAGATCCATAACCCAATTACAAGAGGGACATTTAAATTGACTTAAGGTGTTTTACCTAAAGGGTAGAAAGGGCTTTCTGGTAATGGGTTTTGGTTAATGGAAAAAAAAGTCTGGGAAGCAGTGATTGAGATGTTATTGTGATGAATCTAAGACCACTTTGGTTCCTTGCTTACGTACTCTCGAGGCCTCCCCTAGCAGCAAATTCCCACTCCTCTTCTGTTGGTAGCCTCTTTCTTTTCCATTTGCAAAAAGCCTGAGCATCATTCCAGCTCACATGCAACACTGGGTAGTCTAGCCTGTCTTTGATGCTGGATCCAGGACCTGAAGGCTGAAGACAGGAAAGGATTCTAGTTATTTAAGGCACTGTTATCAATAAATTAAATTTGCATGCCTAAAAAACTATTGCAAGGCAGGGTCTACTAACATTTTCAGGTGTTAAGTGTTCAAAGACAGATTAATTAATTCAATGGCCAAACTATCTTAAGACATCATCGGTCTCATCGTCAAAGAGCGTGGGCACATTCAGCTGGAAACACAAACACCACAAAATTTCTTACTTGAAATCTCATTGAAATCTAAAAAAAATTCAAGTTTTTACAAGATGTGTGAACTCCTAATTTTTTTTTGCACTTTCAAAAGGATTAATTTTCAAATGTCATCTGGGGAGCCTGCAGATGGCATCTAAGGCACAGGTGTCAAACTCGATCGCATCACGTAATGTATCATGACGTTTTTTGGGTTTGCGGAACTGGGGTGGGTGTGACCTGCGTGTGACGCATCCAGCTGTGGGCCGCCGCTTTGATCTTAAGGGCACTGGATTTTCTAGTGCTGGCAAAAACATTTTGTGTATTTTCTGTTGACAGGGTATATGAAGGGTCTCAACTAATGTTGTTAGTCTATCTTTTAGATTCTAAGTACAGTTCATTAATCAACACCGTGGTACACTGTAGTACACAAAGACAAATCATGACTCCGATAACATCTATATCTCTCTACTGAAGTCTCACCTGCCTCCAAAATGCTTTCTCAATCGGAAGCCACCATGGTGCAGACTAAAGGGAAGAATAAAAGTAGAATGTAATCAATAACAAGAGATCCCAATATGAACTATTCCACTTTTCATCAAAGTAACACACATTTGTCCTCCATTTTTAGAATAACATTAGATAGACCATCGTTTTCAAAAGAAGCAGAATGGTGTAAACCTGGTGAAAACTATGGTGCTAGCCCTTCTGATTTCAAATACATTGGAAAGTGGTGTAATATTGGTTGTTGAGATCAATGAAGGTGAAATTGTTGCTCAATAAAGATACAGAGCCCTAAGGACTTGGCATGCCAAACTAGAAGCAATAGAAGATATATGCAATAAGAAATCAAAGTTTTACTTTGAGGCCGAACATTTCAGATCACAAAATTTTAGGCAGGATGGCTGAAAAGATGCCACTTTCTGCCAAGCTGCAGAAGCTACGTTAGGCAAGATGGATCAACTCACTTCATGACAAGTTCAGGTTAGATTTATAGTCTCCTAGAATTTATTACTTGTAGTTTCTCTCCCTGGGAAATCACCCTCTTAACACTCAAACTATTTCCCAATATTTGACTAATATAAATTTACTAATATAAATTGATGCTGAATAATCTATGATGTGTAAGACTTGCTGGAGTTTGGAACACAGGGCAAGTTGACCAAAATCACCCCTTTCTGCCAAATGTTGAAAAGTGGCCCTTTACCTCCAGTTTTTGTGTCACTTTCTTTTTAAGCTCTTCAGGGACAAAATTCTCAAAGACGAAACTCCAGCCAAAGTCCTCGGCTTCCGTTTTGTATTTCTGGTCCTTCACAAATTCCCTGTGCCCAAAAGATAGAACTGTTTTTCAATCCAGCCTTTTTTGTAGATCCCTCAACAATTTTGGGGCTGGGGGTTTCTGCTCTTAAAATTCTGGCAGGAGAAGGGTACAGGGGGTGTGACAATGATGTGCTAAATCAACTGGAATGGGGATCAAATTGATGGTGCCCTATGGTTTTCATTTTCCACTTTTATCCTTTGCATATGGGTTTAGTGTATTTATATGCCTAGTTCCTTCTATTCCCATAAAATTTCAGTGGGAAAGTGCCTTGTTGTAATTTGGTTGTTTGCAAATATCTTAGGAGACAATTTGAGGTCTCTGGGGGTCCCAAAGAAAAGGACTCAGGGATCACATGTGATCTGCAACTGGCCATGTTGCACTAAGCCCTTTCTCATTCAGCACTGGTTTCTTGTCACAGCTAGCTAACTTGTGACAGCCTTTGCATACTATTTATCTTATCCACATGGATAAGAGCCTTCGTTAGAATACAGTATTGCAGATTAATTCTGCCAACTGCCAGCAGTTTGATTCTCATCGGCTCAAGGTTGACTCAATGAGGACACAGATCATTGGGGGCAATATGCAATATGGGGTAAACTGCTTAGAAATGGCTGTAAAGTATTTTGAAGTGGTATATAAGTCTAAGTGCTATTGCTATTTATGTCTTGTTTTTCCTAACGATATTCTGAAAATAAAGCAACCAGGAAATGCAGGGTGCGAAGGAAATATCAATTTGCACAAAGAGAGAAGGTTGGGACTCAGATACTATTGTTCTTTCTTACTACTAAATACATTGTTCCCGAATTGGACTTTGCCACAAAATAGCTGTATCAGAAATTTACCTTTCTACCAAGCCCAAATCTGCCCTCTATTTAACACCAGCCAGCTAAGATAACCTTACATGTACTTGAAGAAGTGGATTCTAATCCTCAAAAGTATCTTGTCACAATCTTTTACTGCAGCATGAACTGTGCTATTGAAACATCGAGGAGTTTCTTAACAAAGTAGTGGACAGTTCTGGTCTTCCTGTAAAGTTTATTTGCTCATCTGGCCTACATTGAAGGGCTGACTTGGAATTGTTAGAAAGTGCAAGTTATGAATGCAATCCAAAATAGTAGTGAAAATATTGTATTATTAAGAGAGTCATTACTGCCAGGCAAAAACCATGTTCAGCTAACGTGGGATGTGAACTTTACCGGAAGTCTTTGTTGGTGACCGGATACTTGTCCATAACAAATGGTTTGATTATCCTGAAGGATCTGTCTTCATTTTTACCATCCAATACGTTTGTTCTAATTTCCAATTTTCCACCAGGCAACTGTACAGTATCTTCATCTTTCCTAAAAGCTGAGAAGAAGAATTAAAATTAGCTGCAAGAATGTTAGAGAGTAGCAAAGGATGAAGGCAAATATACGTATCCCAGGATAATGCTGCAGGATCCAATCTGGGTCGATCACCGGGACCAGAGATTTTGACTTCCGAGCTTTCTCACATTCTGGTGAGAGAGAAGTTCTCTGAGGATGGGCTTCAGCATGAATCTGAAAGCTCAAAATCTCTGGTCCCGGTGACTGATCCAGACTGGATCCAGTTGTAAAGAAGAATGAAAAGTTTAGAAGCCAAAGAAGTTCCTTTAAAAAAAGCAAAGAAACAAACTTTTTGGTTGTTAAAAGGTAACATAGCGACTTTCATGGTGATCCCGAAGGGGTTTGTCACTTGACTTTCCCCCCTCTTTTAAGTTAAATATTGTGTGATTTTTCATGGTATTATTATATGCCATTTTATTGGTAAATTTTGTTAAAGCACATTCTCATTCTATTTATGGCAAGGCAAAATGCTTCACTCTAATTTAATTGTTTAATTGAGCTGCTTTTGCTTTATCATTATCTATCTGGATATTTCAATTTTACTGATTATCCTGCATGGATAAAAATACAGAATATAAATCAAATTCCTATCAATAATAATACATATTTTTTTATTCTGTAACATGTGCAACCTCCATTCTAAAATCACCAGCACTTTAGAAATCTTAAAGTTTTAACAGGATTCATACTACAAAACGTTCAAGTGGAAAGGTTTTGCAGCATGCTGTAAAAAACAGGAATTTCCTTAAAAGTTATATTCTCTGGAAACACATTACTCAGTACACTCTGCTTGCATACAGAGCTGTTTTCCCCCATAACGGTACAATAAAATTTAAAGCCCTGATAAAATTATTTTTTTAGGATTCTCGTAGGGTGCTTGTTATTTTTGCTGCATTTTTACTGGAACAGCCTAAAAATCTGGAAATGATAGTATGTTGTGTATTCCCAGCTTCTTCTGATGGATCCCATTAAATTCTAATTGGAATTCAACAATATAGCCCGAAGCATGCCTAAGCCACTGTTTGGCTATGTTTGCACAGGGGACAAACTTTCTTGTAACTTGAAGAGAAGGAGGAACCTTTTCAGAGATTGTGTGGATAAAGGCAGTCTGGATCACACAAATCATGGGTTAGCATGGCCCCTAAGAGATATGAAAACATGCAATTAACTGGTAGAACGGCTTGCCTCCAGAAGTTGTGGGAGCTCCAACGTTGGGGGTTTTCAAGAAGAGATTGGACAACCGTTATCCAGAATAGTATAGGGTCTCTGGCTTGCGCAGGGGGTTGGACTAGATGACCTCCACCATCCCTTCCAATACTGTTATTCTATGATTCAAGTTCCATTCTATTCTATGGAATTATTTCTCGGCCTCGATTCTTCCTGGCAAAAACATTCTCTTGGGAGGAAAAATGGTTTTCCAAGGTTTAGCACCCTGCTGCCCACAAGGAGAGAATTTAACCCAAGCCTCGACCCCAGGCAGGAAAAAGGAGAAGAAGCCGTGGCGGGGACTCACCGGGGCGCTCCGAACTGCCTCCGGTCACCGCCCAGGGAGACAACAAGACGGACAAGAGACTCGCGAGCAAAGCGGGAGAGAAGAACATTGACACGGGGAGAGGAGAAGAGGACGTTTGACGATTCCTTCGCCCCTTGGCAGCAATTTGCAGCAAAGGAATCGGGCACGGCGATTGCTTCCGGGGTCGACAGGAGTGACACACGTGTACTGGGAGGCTCCGTCCTACAGCTGCGAACTTCCTTCATTTCGCAAACGGTCTGGGTTGGTTTCGCGTTGGATTTTCTGTTTGGGGGGAGGACTCAGCTTCTCTCCCCCTTTTTATTCGAAACAGTGCTGCTCTTACAAACCGGAGGAAACTGTATCTTGGGATATATGGCAGTTGCAATCTTTTGACTTCGAAGGCCATGCTCAGGACACAGATCAGAACATTGTTTTTTTTTCCATTTCGCTTTGGATGGTACATGTGAGCACGGCCACCCCCGTTATAGCGGCCACTCCAACTCTGCTGGTCAGTTAAATTCCTTTCGTTTCTAGACCCCAGATTCTAATCAGCCAAACTCGGAAGAACAGTCACTACCCTTTGGAATATTTACGTACCAAGTGCAAAATTTCACTATTCCTGTTATACACTATTTCAAAATTCCTTTCATTAACTTTAACCAGTTTGAAGAAGCCACATTTGACTCAAGTCAAAACGAAGCAGACAATGTAATTTTGCCTGCCTGAACTAAAGCTTTGTCTTGAGTTAAAGCTGAGCTTAATCGTTATGCCAGCTTTTTGCAACTGAAGTTGCATTAATGTAGAATTTATTTTTCCTTTTGAAAGAGGATTATAGACTAGTGTGCATTTCTGGAAAAGATTCATTCATGAAAGATTCAATTTTGTGTAGTTGCCTCCATCCTGATGTAATCTAAAAATGTATTATGTTTTATATTTGTAGTGCACCACCTTGAATGCATATGTAAGATAATTAAGCTTTTTCTGGCAGTATTTGCCATGGAATTTCGTACCAATGCATTGGAAACTCGTGAGTGTGGCATGCTGGCCTACTGGAGAAGATACTCGCCTTCCACTCAGAAGTTCAATGTTAGGTAGTGGGAGATGTTTCTCTCCTAGGGTACAAAAAAAGAAGTATCTGCTGCGAACGCCATGTGGCGTCAAGAAGGGCATCTGGCCAGTAAATGCTCAGCTCCATCTAATCACCCTGATTCTACTAGGAAGTGACTACAGAGTCATTAAAAGGTTTTTTTTTTAATGCAGTGGAAACTATAGAAAATGATAAACAATGAGTATTATTAAAATAGACAACACTCAAGCCTGAAGAGAGGGAAAAACTTTAATGGGTAGAAAGACAGTAACTTCAGTGGCATTTGTTCAGTGCATGTAAAAAATAAATAGTAACTGATTCTATAGAAGTGAAAGATCTCAATTCGTGAGTGGCCAAATTTTCTTCCTCCTATTATTTTGAATTACATGTTGGAAAAGGGATTTTGTTAACATGAATCCAGGAAACCGTTGGTAGAGATTCCCCACTCAAGTGGTCTTCCAATTCAGCCTTTGAGAGATGACATTCCAGCTCGCATAATTTCATCAACCAAGAGAATGTTGCTAGCAATAACAGTGCTAGAGAAAACAGGAAGAGAAATTTCATTTGTCTCAATTTATCGTTCATTTAGTAAAAATACAGTCAGCCTCTTTTCTTGTATTCTTTAAGAAGGTTCATATGGCCAATTTCATTTCTTCTGCTTCTTCCCGCATTAAAAGCAAAAATCTTGAAATATGAGACCCCATACCTAGTTACTAGGATTAAAATAGTCTGGAAAAACATATCAACTTATTTATACAAAAAGTATACTCAACCAGGTCTTAATTGTCAAGTAAATTCTATATACAATTCCAAATGTGGTTGAGGTCATTTTTTAAATGGTTAGCTATAAAATGTTACCTAGAATGAAGCAACTGTTTTTTAACACTATAATTATCCCAGATTCCAACTGCTCCTGCCACCATTGGTTCACCTGAAAGACATAGGAGAAAGTTCATTAAAAGACAACAATAATATCTGTTCTATAATCTTTTCACGGATTGGTAGGGTTGTTTTGTTTTATAAAGGACCCTCTGTGCAAACTGGTTTGGAAAAAGACATGCATGAATTTTCTATTGCGTTAAAAATGGTTTAGAAACTGGAAAGGAATTGTCTGTTTCCTTTGGGACCATTCTGCAGTTTTTCCAGCCAACTGGGACAACCAGATTCACTTCACAATAGTGTGGTTCACTTAACATCCATATAATTCACTTAATGATTGTGGTAAGAAATTATTGATTTCCTTACTGACTGTGGTAAAAATGGACATAAAATTCGGTTGTCAGCTTGCTTAATGACTGCATCTCTTAACAACCTTAATTCCAGCCCCAATTGTGATTTAAGTTGAGGATTACCTATACAACAAATGGTTATAGGTTGCCCTTGTCTGGGTTATTAGTAACATGATCCAGCCTTCTTTACAATATTATTTGTAACCTTTTTAGCAATTACAAGTTTATGTAACTGCTAAATAGTCACAAATAAAAGTACAACCATTATCACTAGTTCACCTCAACAAACTCTCAATGAGAACATCATCGATAAAGGGGAATGCTTGCAGCTCAGGGTTGAAATGAAGGGTCCTTGGTGCTCTCTGAGCTTGGTTGTTTTCTTGCAGATGTTTCATTACCCAAACTAGGTAACATCATCAGTGCTGTTACTTAGTTTGCATAATGAAATGTCTCCAAGAAAACCAAGCTCAGACAGCACCAAGGACTTTGTGTTGGTTTAGTGCCACTGTTTTCTGGATAAAAGCATGCAACTGAACCAGTTTATAATAACTCTCATTTTCAAAAATCATTACCATCTGCTAGCTTAATTTGTAAAAGAAAAAAAAGTATTATCATAACATATCCAGCTGTTTGGAATTACAAAGTACCTCTCAAGCTTGTCAAACATGCTACTCCCAGCCGCTGTTCTGTACTCACCAGAATTTAGGTCCACCCCCACTAGTTGTCCTGACTCAGCATATTCTGCTTGAACTTTAACTAGTGTTTCCTGAGGATCATAGCCAGCGTTCTGAGCAAGTACCTGTTAAGAATAAAGAAAAAAAGTATTTATTTTTTATTGTTCTCTCCATCAAGAAATGAGCTATTTGGTATTTAGTGGAGATAAATGTACAATATATACTTAGAAGTGACTGTTCTTTCCCCTATCTTCCATTTTCCTTTCAGCTGTATCTCTGCTGACATCTGGAAAGTCTTATTGATGGTAGCCACAGAGCTCAAGAATGCTATTAGATGTTTTTGTTCAGAAGCTTCCTACCTTAGGGATAATCAGCAATGCATCAGCAAATGCCTGAACTCCCAACTGGCTTCTTCCTTTCACATTGGGCTTATGTTTCACAAGGGCATCAGCTATTGCCACCTCCAGGGCTCCAGCACCTGGAACCACACAGCCTGGAAAATCAAAAATCATTTGTTAACATCAATCTTGCCACAAATGCAAGGCAGACACCAAAGGATATAGTGCTTAAAAAGGGTAAATCCCCATTAAATATAAAACTTTTGGAAGTTCTCAAGTCTTCTTAAAGGAAGAGTTTTAAGTCTGGAATACTAAGATTCAAACAGTCTCTTTAAACTCAACACATGCTGTATACCTCTGGTGTTTATACAATCATCTATGTGGTAGTCTTTTATTTTACCTGCATTCTCTCCTCCCACAATACATTTATGTACCTTTAAAATAGTTTAAGTTGAAAGCAGGACAATACTAACTATAATTATTTTTAAATATTGAAATACTCATTTACCTGAGGTGCATTATTATGCTTCAGTTTAGAAAAGGGATTTTTTTTTTCTACAATTGCCTTAACAGTGTATTGTAAGTTGCAACACCTATGTTCATTTAAGATGGCTTAATTATACTAGCACAGGCACTACTAGGAGCCAGAGCTACTGAGGTAGTTTTATTTTATGAGAAAAATGCACCATCACCACATCTCAATTATATTGGTACTCACATAGCCAAAACACTCCAATCACACACAAGGGGTATTATTGGGTTTATCTAAATTTAGCAACACAAAAGTATCCTGAAGCAAAAATGCTTAACGAAGATTGTTCTTCCTTCCACAAGAAAACCTTGAAATATAAAGGATGCTGAACTTAGCATTTTAAAATAAATTTCCTGCAAATATATTTTTCCTTATTTGAGACCTGTCTTAAGCAACACCATTCATGGAAGTTTTAGATTCACTGTATTCTCCGAAGTAAGATTACTGAACCAACATATGTAACTGTGAAATACTAAGATTAAAGACCAGAGAAATGCAGATTCCAATCCACAGACAGAGAAGCTCTCGCCATTTCAATCTGCCCCTAAACATTGCTTTTGTTGGAAAATACATACTTGTATGTATTCCAATTTGAACTCCTGGGCCTCTTTTTAATAAACATGAATGTTCAAAGTGCTATTAACCAAACATATTAATTGAAGTAATATTAAAATAAAGCTTCATTTAATCAACTGGCTACCCTGAGGCTATTAAAATATGGAGTGCTTCTAGCCCACACTCACCATCCTCAATGGCATTTTTGACAGCACGCAGTCCATCTCTTATAGCATCCTTGATCTGTGTCAGGGTGTGCTTATTTGGCCCCTTGATCAACAGAGTCACAGAACGAGGGTTTTCACACTTCTCAATAAAAGTGAACTTCTCTTCACCCTGCGCAGAGAGAACAATGCAAACATTATTTAGGGACCATAAATGCTAAGTTATGTAATATATATTGGATTTTCTATAGTTTGAACAGTAAATTTATTATATTCTTATTACCATGCCTATTTTTATCTCTTTAAAAAGCTGTTTTTGTTCTATACAGTAATATTTAAGAATTCCAAGATTAATTTATGTATTATATTTCTAAGCCAACCCATCTCCCTTCAAAGGAGCTCTAATTCTACGAAATATTCTCCCATCCATCCATCTACCCACTCGGCCCTTGAATAACATTTAACACTATTGCAGCTAGGTATTAATTATAATGCTTGCCATAGAAATCAAACTGGAAAGAATTAAAGACTTTAAAAATCAAACTCACCAAGGTATATTCATAGACAAGACCTGCATGTCCCAGGCAGTCAATGGACAGGTCTTCAAC